AGAGAGAGAGAGAGAGAGAGAGAGAGAGAGAGAGAGAGAGAGAGAGAAAGAGAGAGAGAGACTAGAAGTGTCTATGCATAGCATCTCCTAGTCGGGAACACTAAATGGCAAGGTGCTGATGACCTCTCCAGACTCAGTGACAATGGCATCATAAACCCAGCGGCGGTTGCATCGGCACTCGGGTCCACACTTGTTGGAGTTGCACTTGGGACAAGGGTAGAAGCAGCCCAGGCAGTTCTTCTCGAGGCAGTCACACAGGTCCATGTCATTACAGATTAGCTTGCCACTTTTGTCATACTTCTTCATCACTCTGCAAAGAGAAGGTGATGACACGAATGAGACGGCACTGTTGTCCTTGCTGTTGTGAAGAAGCTACTGCGTGGTCCCATCACGGACCTGGCCCTTTTACACTGCGTGGTCCCATCACGGACCTGGCCCTTTTACACTGCGGGAAGAGCATCCTGGACATTACCAGAAACAGCGACCCTGCTCACATATTGGATGGTAATGATGGCTTGGTACAGTCAAGCTAGTATGTGAAGCTAGGCTTGTCGCTGAGATCAACTTAACTGTCCAGCATTTCTGCGGCATGTAATTATTCATCCCAAGAACACTGAATGAGAACATAATCTCATGTGCACAATAACGCTCAAGGCATAATAAATTTCATTGAAACTCTTTCAAAGTACATGTTACCTCTTCCATGAAGATGGGTTCTAAAGATAAGACTACGTGTGTTATCCAAAGGCGTGGGGGAGGGTCTGGGGTGGTCTCTGTCACACAGAGAATACTAGGTCACTAGGCTACAAACCACCTCCAGTCCTGTTTGTAAGGGTCTACAGGGGGCAGACGTGACCTGGTCACACAGATAGTACAGAGGTCACCAGGCTATTAACCACATCTGCTCCCAGCCTTCTGGGTGGAAAACAGGCACACACCCTTCCACTGAAGAGACAAGCATCTTTGCCATTCCTGGATTCCCTAATGTCAGCATAAGGACTTCATGCTCTCTACATTTTTCTACTGATCTTAGACTCTTTTTCTCTCTTAACAGTCCTCTAGCAAACACGACTACACGTCTTAATGATGGGGACTATCAATTACTACACCATACTCATTAAAGCAAGACAGAAAAAAAAAAGACACTAATGACAAAGGTCCCAGGTTCTGCTGTTTCTTTAAGAGTATTTACCCCAGTGTGGACAGAGAATGCAAACCGAGGTGGTGGGAGTCCGTATTGTAAGGCCCCAGGGAAGGAAAAATGTTCAGTGCCAGAGGGCACCACTTCTGACCTTAGATCCCCACACTTTCTCTGTCCACCTCTGCAGCAGACATGGGGAAAAGACTTTTACAGGAATTTTACCACTCAAAACCAAACCACGCTCAATATATCCTTCAAAGCACTTCTGCTTGAAATCCTGGGGAGCAGCTTCTCTACCTCATCACCATGAGCTCCAAAGGCTGGCGATCTACTCATCTGGTCACAGTGTGCTGTGGAATAATCCTCCTGTACACTGTGCATATGTATTGCTCTCATTGGTTAACAAAAAGCTGACAGCTCAGTAGCCAGGCAGAAAGTATAGGCGGGAAAGCCAGATACAGAGTGCTCTGGTATAGTGGTATATTATTATTTTAATAAATAAAGCTTGCCTGAAGGTTCATGCAAAGCAGCCACACTAGTTAGCCATAAAGACCAGGTGTGGTAGCACGCCTTTAATCCCAGCACTTGGGAGGTGGAGGCAGGCAGATCTCTATGAGTTCAAGGCCTACCTGGTCTACAGAGACAGAGAGTTCAGGACAGCTAGGACTGTTGCACAGAGAAACCCTGTGTTGAAAAAAAAACCCAATAAGTAAACAAACAAACAAACTACACTCTGGGAGGAGGAAGGGCAGACAGAGGAGTTGCCAGCCAGATGCAGAGGGAGCAGGAGATGAACATGCCATGCTAATAAAGGTACCACCATGTAGCAGAGCATAGATAATGAATATGGGTTAACTTAAAAAGTGAAAGCTAGTGAGTGATAAGCCTGAGCTATTGGTCAAGCATTTGTAATTCATATTAGCCTCACTGTGTTTTTATGAGAGCAGCTGCAGAAGAGGAAAACTCTGCCTATAACAGTGACTACCTCTGAATCCTTTGTCCCTAAGCCAACGCCTCCTCTCCTCCTGTTAGTTGAAGTAATGCAGTTTCTTCCTTCCCCCTTTCCTAGATGAGTAAGAAAGGTTGAGACACTGCCTCGTGATCACACGATAGCAGGGATGCCTTCTGATTAAGATTTTTTAAAAATATCTTTGAATTTATCAACCTTTATGGTTTGCTTAATACATATATGTCTATATATGTGTTAATATATATTACATAACATATACTTTAACATATATTATTAATTATTAATATATAATATAATTATAATATATGATATAATTATTAATTATTCATATATGGGCTGGAGAAATGTTTCAGTGGCTAATTCAGAGCACAGACTGCTCTTCCACAGGACTGGAGCTCAGTTCCTAGCATCCACCTCGAGTGGCTCACAACTACCTGTAACTATATAGTGTCAGGGGATCTGAGAGCTCTGGGCTCTGTTGGCACCTGCACTCACACGCTAAACTGAAAATCATACAGATAAATCATTTGTGTGTGAGAGAGAAAATATACAATTATTTAACTGAATGTCACTTTTCCTTAATGAGTATTAACTGAAATTTGATTTTAAAAACAATTTTATCAGAGCAGCACAAACACATACCATATTTTATACATAAAAATGAGAAGAAACTATAATCAGGATATATTACGTAAGAAAAGAATCTATTTTCAATAAAAGGGAAAAATGAAAAAATAATAAATACCATCATTTCAATACATCAAATGTTCAACTATGTATGCTTGGTTTTCACTCCGTGTTAGAGAAATCATTTAAAAACTAATGTGTATATGTGAGTATAATGCCACGAGTGTGGTGATCTCCTCCCCCCAAAACCAGAAAAACGGGATCAGATTCTCTAGAGCTGGATTTGCAGAAAGCTGTGAGCTTCTCAGGGTGGAGCTAGGGAGCAGCACAGACGCTCTGGAGGAAGAGGAAATATTCCTCCTGCCGAGCCGTCTGTCCAGTTCCCTCCCGGGGAATGGATTTTTTCCCTTGTCATGCTATAGTTGGAAGCTAGGGCATTGTACATGCTAGGAAAGTGCCCCATTCCTGAGTTACAACTTCAGGTAGTGTGTATTATAGTGTGTTAACAGTCCTTGTATTGAGTGATCATATGGTACCCACTTAATATTCTGAATCCATACATGTGATGACATTATTTTTCCTTTTAATAATTCTTTGTTATAGTTAGTCAACTTTCCACTAAAGGTATTATTTTAGTACAAGGCCCTTTATAAAAACAAGATGATCTTTAATTTGAGATTTAGATTACCCCCCTACACACACACACACACACACACACACACACACACACACATACACACACTTACATAGTTTCCCTAAGTAATCCAAGCTGACTTTGAACTTGGAATCTTTCTGCCTCTGCATCCAGGTGCTGACATTCCAGGCACTTGGCCACCTTGCTCTCAACAGTACTGCCTATTTCTTAAAGCTACTAACATCAAGACATAATGGGGCTTAAGTGTATGATAAAAGAAAGTTTTGAAATCATAACATGATGTAACTTTCAATTACTTTGCTTTAAAATCAAGGAGAACACATGCAATTTTTAATCCCATGAATCAAATATGTCATGACCTTACTTGTACTTCCCAGAAAAATATTCATTCATTTTTGACATCCGTGCTTTCTTCTTCTGCTGCCTTGTCTCGGGGTTAAAATCTGCCACCTGGGGTCCAGGGTTTTGAAATGCCAAGCATTTTAGCTGCCGTTCTATCTGTTGCTGTGAAATGAACAGAGTGTTTTAGTAGTTTCATTCATTTTTCATTCTTTCAAAATGAATTCTCTGTAGCTCTTATCAAGACAACTTGGAAATATGTTTGATTCATAAGGAAAAAATGAACAGTTTCATCTGACTCGGTTTCAAAAGGCGATGCATTCTCAAATGAAGCCATTCTTTCGAAATACAGAGTATAAAGTGCATATAAAGAAAATTTGGAAACGAATCAAGACCAGTAGACTTGTTTATCCTTGCAAAGCATCCGACAGTCTTGCAAACCTGACAGGGATGACCTCCAGAATTGACCTTTTCTTGGTCATAAGGACAGTGCAGTCCCCTCAGTCATCACAGAAGAAGCCTAAGTCACACATCCTCCTCCTCCTCACCCAGCTCCAGCCTCTGGAAGGAGTCTCAAAACCATTGCCTGCTCTGGGCTCCATGCACCATCGGGCTTCAACACAGACAGTGCCACTGAAGGCTCACTCTCAATCAAAGCCGGACTCGAGCAAGAAAAGTCTTGATAAATAACTTTCTGAATGTTAGGGGAAATTTCCAAAACTCTTTGGGAAACTTTTGTGTTTAGAAATAAAATGAGGCCTGATTGTGAAGACAAGAAGCAAGACTCGTCAACGAAAACACGATGATGTGAGGCTGGAGCGATAGCTCAGTGGTTAAGAACCCTTGATGTTCTTGCAGAAGATGGAGTTCTAGTCCCAGCACCTACATGGTGCCTCACAGTCATCTGTAACTCCAGTTCCCAAGAACTCCTCCGACCTTTGCAGGTACACACACAGTCAAACGCTCACATATTCCCCAAAATAAAAAGGTGACTTTTTGTTATTGCTATCATTGTTTCTTTGGGACAAGTCCAATTCCATAGTAGGCCAGCCTAGAACGATCTATTTAGCCCAGGTTGGCCTTGAACTTGTGACAATCCTCCTGCCTCAGCCTCTCAAGTTGTTGAGGTTACAGGTGTGTGTGTATGTGTGCTATAGCCAGTGTGAGGACATTTTCTAAGCATGTAACACACATGTTGTAGGAAAAGAAATATTCTCCTGAAGAATTTTAGAAGAAAATAACCTGATTAGCCAGAAAGCACACAGGCTGGATTCCACTGGAAATGCAATTCCTAGAAATAAAAGGGACACTTTCAGTCTAACAGATAGGTTTTTTCGTAGCTTAGCTAGCTTAATAGTAGTCCGGGTAGTCTACTTAGAATAGCTGAAACATCTCCTTAAAGTTTCACCTTGATGGGGGTACATTGGCTTGCTTTGCAGACGTACCCTATGAAGCATCTCTACTCTCGGGTACAGCTATGAAAGCTGAAAAATCCAGCACTTTCCAGTCCCGTTCTCAGCTATATAGTAAGAAGCAGGGGACAAACACAGCAGACGAGCCTGCTGCTGTTTAAGTCTTGGCTCTGCCCATCGTAAACTGTGCAAATTGAACAGATTCTTGCTTCTCTAAGCCTCAGCGACTCGTTTTTGTAAAATAAGGCTATTATTATCTTGTGATAAGACTTGGGTGAGTCGATACACATAAAGCATTTAGAGTCATGACATGGTAAGTACAAAATACACAGTAAGAACTAAATAAAAGACCTGGCTAGATTTTTTTTTTCAAGCATTCTATTCTGAGGACAAGACTCCAATACAGAGATCACCAGGCTAAAAGTAAGAAACACAAAGCAAAGAGGAACTTCGTCAGGCCATCCCAGTGAAAAGTTCTCTCTTGTGAAGTCCTGATGCCTGACCTGCCTGCACGTCCACAGCCACCTCAGACGCCCCCTGCTGGAAGATCAACAAATAACACGGAATCATGAAATCTGCGCGCTATATACCAGCTGCTTCTGTCCAATCTGACTTCTCTCTGGAAACAATTGATTTGTGGATCCTTCTCGAGTGAGGTTGTTCTTATCGGACGGTGCGCTCATTTTTGACCACTAAAAAGGTAATCGGAAAGAAATGAAACATGTCAATGGCATACACGTCAGTGTTTCGTCTTCGGCTTTTCTTTGGATCTCCGCCCAGGTAGTCTTTCCATCCAAAGTCAGACTACGTGAGAAAGTCTGGATCCTTCTCCCCACCCCCTCTTAACTTCCTGCATCCCGCTCCCTGGAACCACTCCAATGACACTTCTCTCTTCCAGGTGCTTCGCTGATAAATCACGTGACCATTCTTAGTATCACGGATGGCTCTGGAGCAGACAATGCTGCAGACCAACCCTCTTGTTTAAGAAGAAGGAATTTTTCATTCTTTTCCCTTCATTTTGCGGGGGACAATACTTGATACGTAAATGCCATACGTCCCTAGTAATTGTAAAGCTCATATCCGTTCTCATTCACGGCAATCACAGCATACAGAGGGGAATCCCACACCAATTACTTCTGCTAAAATAATTGTGATCCCTCTTTGCTTTCATCCCGTGTCCCTGATATATCAGTGAGGGCCTTACAGCTGCCTATAACCTAGACCCCTAGACTCAGGACCCAGCACTAGAGTCAACACTACGTGTCTTCCCTGCCACTCTTCTCCCATCTCTCACCTAACTTAAGCCTCTCTCTTTGAGCCCTGGGTCCTCTCCCATCCAGCATGCTTTTCTGATTCACTAAGATTCCTTTCCCTCCTGGGGCTCTGTCAGGAGTTTCTTAAAAAGGATGTCCAAAAGAAAGCCCAAACCCTCTATTTTCTTTACATAATAAACATTCTTCCTCAAAGGAGAGATTTTTAAAAGATGTTTCTATAGGCAAGAGCTTTTCCTGAAACACTACGGGATTTAAAGTACACAGGAATAATTGATTTCTTCCGAAACTCCTTCACCCTGAGTGCTTTCGCTTAAGTTGCTCACGAAATGTAGGTCTCCGTGAATACTCTAGGGGACGGAGCTGCTCTTTTGAGCTCTTGTTTTCATTTTTGTTGTTGTGATAAAAATACTCTGACAAAAACAATTTGGGGAGATGGGTTTATTTTTAGTTCCCGGTCCAGGCTAGAGTCTGTCTCTAAACCCAAGGAAATCAGTTACAGGGGCTTGAGACATTGTATCCAAGTAAAAGAACAAGGAAACAGGAATGAAGTATGCCGGCCTTCATCTTGTTTTCTCTCTCCTTTCCCAGTTCAGAATCCCTTGCCTAGCGAGTGGGATAGTGGGCCGCCTCCTCATCTCACCCGACACCATCAAGGTAATTCCCCACTGGCATGCTCACAGGTCAACGCCATCTAGATAGTTTCTCATTGAGATTCTCTCCCTGGGTGACTCGAGAGTCTGTCACGTTAACAATTAAAACTAATCATTGCATGCCCCAGATAAATAAAAATGGAATTATAATACAATTCCGACAGGCACTAAATTGTAGTTGGTTATCATTATCAGCCCAAAACATTTGTCCCAGGAAAAGGACAAAAATGGTCAGAACTCACTCTTTTCCCTGCTCAGCATTCCTAAGGTAGAAGTTTCTAATCAGACAGGGCAGGTCTTTGAATGTAAATAAGTAAAATGTACATAATTATGTCCACTAACTTCTAACCGAAATTCTGTCTGCCAATGCAGTTTCTGACACACACCGAAAAAACCATTAGGTGCCTCTTCCAAGAATCTACTGTCACCATCGCCGTGATGGAAATGAAGGCGCACAGATCACTATTGCCCCAGCTATGGAAGAAGCACATTTCCAAGAATAGGGTTGGCCACACAGAAAACTCTGAGTCGCTATATTTGACTAAAAGAATATAAAATCAGTCTGACTAACATTGTATTCTGTCCTAGCACCACGTCACATGAGTTATGAAAAATCTAAAACATGGGCTGAGTCCAAGCAAGGCTTCTAGACTCCTAACACACATGGGCTACGGAGCAGAGCCAGGCCAGGAGTGGTCAGTAGTAGAGAGAGAACAGGCTCCTCCGAGCAGAGATCATCTGGTTCACTAAGCTCATTGGGCAGGTTAGCCGGCAGATTTCTGCAGAGAACACTGTCCTACTGCAGGTAATAGTTTCTTGCTTGATAGTCTGATCCAAATTCCTTTATTCAACTTAAACACGAAGCCGGAGTCACTCTAGTTACTGCTTGTTCGAACACTCATTTCCCTTCTAAGTCAGTTCGGTTTGATTTGTTTTTGTTTTCAGACAGGGTTTCACTAGATAGCTCGGGCTTACCTCGCCTTGAATCACAGAGATCCGCTGCCTGCCTGCCTTTCCTCCCTAGCACTGAGCTCAAAGGTATGAGCTCCCGTGCCCAGGTTTTAAGTTCACATTCGCATTTTGGCTAGGTCTTTACCTATGGAGAAGGATTACATTTCACTTTACCCTCAGTGAGCTCCCAAATTAGCACCCAGCCAGTACTCAAAAACACCTTGTGACTAGCCAGGTGTGGTGGCACAGCCTTTAATCCCAGCCCTCGAGAGGCAGGTGGACCTCCATGAGTTCAAGGCTAACCCAGGGAACAGAGTGAGCTCTAAACCAGCCAAGAAAATTTCCTGATACTGATACCAGTCTAAAAATAAATACACGCCCTACGAATCATGTGCTTATAGAACCTGATTTATGCTAAGCATTTAGACTAACATTATAAAGTCCTTCATTAAATTTTCATGTTATGAATAAATATGTTTTTTCTGTTTTGCAAGTGAGGAAACTGAGGCTCTGAAGGAGAAAGGAGAAAGTAACAAAGTTACTAGGAGGTTCTGTAAATTTGGAACTCATATTTGGTTAAGCCTCTATCCCTTTCAGGATGTTACACTGTATCAGGGCTTACATAGGCATCTGTCACCAACTGTCCAGAGGATATGAGTGGGTGAGGGAAATCCATAGAAGCCAGCCACACAAAGATTCCTTAGAGAAGCCTGAAAGGGAACCGAGAGGACACAATGAGGTCATGAGTACCCTCCTTCCAGACAGAGGGTACATGGGGAAGAGGCGTTCATCTTAAGCTCAGAAGCCACATGTGACTTGGATTCTGAAATCAGCATTAAAAAAAAAGGTCATATTGTAACCATGTTTGAGCCACCAGAACTAAGCACCATCGCCCAGAAGGCTGAGGCTATTGGCATTTGCTCATTACAGTTCCAGAGGCAGCAAAGTTGAAAATCAAGGCATCAACTGATATTGAAAAGGGGGTCTCTTCCTGAGCACACATGGCAGGTTCTTCTCATGACCTTCCCTTGGTGTGTACACTAAGACTAAATCAGAAATCTAGGCCTCCCTCTTGTTCTTTTATTTATTTATTTTTGTTTTTTTGAGACAGGGCTTCTCAGTTCAGCCCTGGGATCCTGGAACTCGCTCTGCAGACTAGGTGGCCTCAAACTCAGGGAGATCCACCTGCCTCTGCCTCCTGAGTGCTGGGATTAAAGGTGTGCACCACCACCACCCAGCAGTCTCCCTCTTCTTATCAGAGTATGCAACCTCTCAGATTTGGCATTCCTTCATTTAACTTTACTTCCTAAAGCATTTATCTCCAAATAAAGTCACATTTGGAATTTGGTCTTTAAACTCATTTATTTATAATTCAGTCCATTGTGATCAAATTTATTCATTTAAATTATCATATATCATATATATGATATATAAAATTTGAAAAGCTACATTAGATTGCTACTATATGGCTGTATATTCTCCAGCACTGGACTAGGTTGAATGTCAGATGAAGCAGTGGCTTATTCCCGAATCATGATAGCTAATTATTCATGGTGGATAAGCAAGCAGTGTTTGTTTTAAACCCCGACAGGCTGCACACGGCGTGGAATCATCAGAGAAAGGGACCAACTCAGGTCTTTGTCTTCATACGCCCTCTGAGTCACAGACCACCAAGAAAGCTGTAGATAACCCACACTTGAGTAATACTTATCTTTAGGGTCCCTTGGTGTCTTACAATGGTTGTTCCTGGGATAAAACACCCTGAGAAAAGCAACTTGAAGGAGAAGGGCTTATTTCTGGTTACAGTTCAGCGGGATATGGCCCACTGTGGCGGGACCTTAACGTCCGTAGGAATGGGAGACAACTGATCATAAGTATCTACTGGTCAGGAAGCAGAAAAGGTAAACAGGAAGTGGGGCTAGGAGCTAAACCCTCAAGGCCCGCCCCCACCGACTCACTTCCTCCAGTGAGGCCCCCATCAATTACAAACTGCTACAAACTGCGCAACCCTTCTAACAGCCATATCCGCGGGGTCCTGAGTGTTCAGACACAGGAGCCTGTGGGGGATATTTTACAGTCAAACCTCCTGGCTTGTGTAGTTCACTTTAGGAAAGCCGGTGTGTCTTGTGTAGGAAGGAAGGAATATTGCTCAACGCTATCGCAAAGACACCTGCAAGTCATCAAAGCAGGACACATGCAGGGCTTAAACGCTAGCCCCAGAATTGGTCTCTGTTTTCTCTCAGTATCAGATAAAGTCTGTACGATTTCCCTACAAACTCGTTAGCGGTAAGAACTGTACACAGAAGAATGGAACTATTTCTTCATCTCATTCTGTCATTAGCCTCGGTTTCTGTACTTGCTGAAAACACCGCGCTTCCGCGGGTAATTGCTGGGAGTCTGATTTCACGAAGGGCATTTTTGGAAAAGGCGGTGCTGGTGGTCAATTAACTGACTCCCTAGCGGATGCCTCCCAGCTGGGTGAGCTGTTTTCAAAGCCACAAAACTGCGTATTAATCCTTTTAACAAAAACAAAAAAAAAGTATCAAGAATTAAAAGTATTGAGCTGCGTTTGGTGTTTTGTGTCCACAATCTCGGGACTTAAGAGGTTGAAGTAGAAATACTGTCTTAAGTTTAAAGCCAGTCTGAACTATATAGTACAGTTAGTTCCTGGCAGGCCAGGGTTACAGTGTGAAACTCTCAAAAGAAAAAGAAAAAACAAAGAACTAAAAGTAACCTTTTGTGCCTGTTGTTAAATAATTATAGTTCTTTAGAAACTGCAGTACCTACAGAAAGCTAGAGACACTTTTATAGCCATTTTCTATACCACACACACACACACACACACACACACACAGAGAGAGAGAGAGAGAGAGAGAGAGAGAGAGTTATGACTCCATATAAAAACGTACCCAGCTATTTAAAATTATTGAAAGTGTACTTAGCAGAGTGTACCTGACAATCAAAAGAGTAGAAGATATTCACATACTTAGCGAGTCTGCAATCTTCCATCTGTTCACAACCACCTACCATCACCACCACCACAGGCACCAAAGGGTTGGTCTGGGTCATCAACAGGTCACCAGCTGCAAGGACCTTATTTACAAAGTGGACCTCTTGGGTTCTGCACTCAGTACAGAATTCAGCACATTGTTAAGGATTATGAGAGACAGATGGCCAGGCTCCACAGATTGGAGAGGAAGACTCTGAGGAGGCCAGAGGACAGGACCAAGCTCAGCACCGTCCCCCTTTAATAACCACAGAACCACTCATCTCAGTGCGCAGGCACGGAGGGTCTTCCTCCCAGACCCTAATAACCCTTTAATATTCACGCCTTAGTTTTTTACCTAGTTTGGTCTCCGCTGCATAAAGGGCCTTGGATTGTCTTTCACTATTTATTTATTTACTTTTTATTTATTTATTGTTTTTTGAGACAGGGTTTCTCTGTAGCTTTGGAACCTGTTCTGGAACTAGCTCTTATAGACCAGGCTGGCCTCGAGCTCACAGAGATCCACCTGCCTCTTGTCTTCCACTCTTAACACAGCACCTGGGCAGTGTGAACTCGGAGTCAGCGTTCTGTGCCTGGCGTGTGCCCACTCTCTCTGCTCTGATTTAACCTGCATCATTAGTGACGCCCTGTTCAAAGGACCTGCCAGACTTATTGTTTCCAGCCTCTTAAGGGTGGTTGCCTAACCACGCCAAAGTAGTAACCGGTAAATGGAAACACACATACCTTTCAGGAGGGTGAAAAGAAGGAAGGAACACAGGAGAGAAAGAGAAACTCTTTTGTCTTCTTTCCTTTGTTTTGCTAGGAAACCATAGAACTCTCAAGGGAAAACAAATCAAAGTCTCCCAAGTGTTGCTTGTGTAATCATGGTTGGGGGAGGAGGGAAGGTGGAACACCGGGACAGAGATGTGTTACCCTGATATCTCACTGGAGTCCGTTCTAAGGTCCTCCAGGGACAGACCGTCATAACACATCTCTCCTTTCTTCCATTCAAAATAAGCACCTACTCAGAAATCACATCTTGGCTCTAAGCCCCATCACACTGTCTCAGCTTCAAGTGTTTAATATTAGCATCCAATTACTTTCTGTCTACTTTATACTCCAGTATGAATGCTGAAGTATATATGTATTTCTAATGAAAAATCTCAAAGGAAAATCAATTGTCTCAAAAGAAAACTAACCCGTGTTTATAGCTGTGTCTAAGAAATGCATTAATCATTAAATTACCACCCTCTAAAGATTATTTTCTGCCACTAGGACTCGGATATTATATCGTGAGTCATTAAAACCACTTCTCTGGCCGGCCCTGTTCATTTATGAATTATAGGGTAAAAAAAATAATATCTCCTTCCTAATGACTTTGACTGCAAGGAAAGAAAACAAAATTATTGGCTAAAATGGCTTGCAATCATCTGCCAAAACCTTAAACTGGTTCCAGAATGTATTTGACCTGTACTTGTATGAAGGCAGTGTTGCACTCCTGAGTAAAATATGCGTAACCAAAAGTGTGTTCTACTTTGCGAGTTCTGGATTGATGAAGCTCAGAGCAGGTGAAAACCTCACCAGATTTTTCCCAGAGTCAGTTACACTGTATAATAAAGCATGGCCCCCTTGGCCAAGTATTGCTTCTCGTTTGCAGCCGGCAGAAGATATACTTTGCTGCTTTTGCCACGCAAGATGCTACAAAAACATCAAGGAAAATCAAACATGACTGGCCAAGTTCAAAAGCAGTAAGTGCTTCAAATCAGGCAGAGGGAAATCCAGAGGCAAAGAATGATAGCCGAACACAGGGTTTTATTAAAAGGCTAAGATGACCCAAATTGGCAATGCACTACAGTACAGAAAGTCACTAGAGCATACAAAGTAATTATACTGTATTATTTCTAAGTTTTCATTTTTTGAGACAGGATTTCTCTGCGTACCATATAATTTTTAATTGAGCTATGTATTATTTTCTGCTCCCCTCCTTTCCTTCCTTCTTTCCCTCTATCTTACCCCCATGACCCTCACACTCCCAATTTATTCAGGAGCTCTTGTCTTTTTCTCCTTCCTATGTAGATCCATGTATGTCTTTCTTAGGTTAGGGTCCTCTTGGTTGTCTAGGTTCTCTAGGGTTGTGGACTATAGGTTTTTTTTTTCTTTGCTTTATGTCTAAAAGCCACTTACAAGTGAGAACATATTATATTTGTCTTTCTGGGTCTGGGTTACCTCACTCAATATGTTTTTTTCTAGATCCATCCATTTGCCTGCAGATTTCAAGATGTCATTATTTTTTTCTGCTGTGTAGTACTCCATTATCAATCCTTCTGTTGGGGGGGCATCCAGGTTGTCCCCAGGTTCTAGCTATTACAAATAATGCTGCTATGAACATAGCACATAGTTGAGCACATGTCCTTGTGATATGATTGAGCATTCTTTCAGTATATACCCAACAGCAGTAATGCTGGGTCTTGAGGTAGATTGTTTCCTAATTTTCTGAGAGCGTTATATTTAGGAAGTGGTCTCCTGTGCCAATGCATTCAAGTGTACTTCCCACTTTCTCTTCTATGAGGTTTAGTGTGGTTGGGTTTATGTTAAAGCCTTTGATCCATTTGGACTTGAGTTTTGTGCATGACAATAGATATGGATCTATTTACATTCTTCTAGATGTTGATGTCCAGTTATGCCAGCACCATTTGTTGAATATGCTTTCTTGCTTCCATTTTATATTTTTTGCTTCTTTGTCAAAAATTAGGTGTTCATAGGTATGTGGATTATTATCTGGGTCTTTGACTCAATTCCATTGGTCCTCCTGTCTGTTTTTATGCCAATACTAAGCTGTTTTCAGTACTATAGCTCTATAGTACAGTTTGAAGTCAGGGATTGTGATGCCTTCAGAAGTTCCT